GGTATAACACTAACAGAATAGGGAGTCTCAACCAGTAAGCACATCCCCGGAGGTGAAGAGAGAAGGGTTCAACACAGTTTATATATACAGTCAAATAATATCAAAGCGGTAAAAGCAGCATTTAGCACATTAGGCTCAAACATGTAAAAATCAAATAAAGCCAAATATAACAATTTATCTAAGCTCGAATTTCTAACCCTGAACCAGTGGTTCTGGATCAGCAGTTCTTTTATCCCCAGCAGAGTCGTCAGAGCTGTCACACCTCCTTTTTCCACCCCCGCGAGGGTACAAGGGAGTTTTTTCCAATTAAAGGAGAATCGAAACGGGATTTATTTATTTATTTCAGAGTCGTCACTTGGGAGATTTAGCGTGTCCCAAGTCACCAATTTAATCCCGAATCGAGGAAAAGAATGACTCTGTATTACAGTCTGCGAACCAGAAATCCGGATAAGGAATTTTTTTTAACCCGGGAGAAGGTATTAGGCATTCCCGAATTCCGTGGTTCTAGCACGGTCGCTCAACTGTTACATTCGGCTTGATTATCTGATTTTATAAAAATATGAATTTATGTGCAAATTTTATCTTTTTACCGCTTTATTATTATTTATTTATTGTTATTATTTTACGGAGAATTGCAACATTGTGAAAACGTATTTCAGACCACGTCGCAATCAATGCACCCATGGTTATCGACACATTTCGACTCCGTTGAGATTTGGATTTGGGTTACATAAATCACACCCATATTTAAGAAAATGATTTGTTAAAGACGCGCCTAGAACGACTAGCGTATTGTTCTTTTGGGAAAGGCCGTAAAATTTCTCTAGACGGCCAACTCCGATGTTCTAAGTATTTAATGCATACATTTGTGAGGGCCCCACAATCTATACATTTTACGAGGCGAGGCGAGGCTCATTTATTTTAAGTGGACAAATCCTAAAGCGACTACATTTTTCTATTAAAATTAGTCTCTAAAATAAAGATAGAAAATCCTAATTAATCACGAGCTTAAAAATAATAACACATAACATACTAATTGCTAGATTAAGACAAATATTAATAGAAAGGAATTTTACTAAAAATAAATAAAAAAATTCGAAATTGTAAAAAATTTACGGAGTTCGACAATTAAAAATCAAAAGATCCTGATTATAGCTAACTTAAAGCTTACATTGTTATAAAAAAAACTATTGAAATTAGTTATTCAAAACCATTTAAAACTAGATTTAACCATAATTACTAAAGCTTATTAAAAAGTTTATTAAACTTAAACGTTGACTCATCTTGCTCAAACTCGCACCTAATGGATTAATGCTCTTAGCCTTGCAACGTTGAATCACCCATTAAAACATCATTTCAATTTTTTTTTCTTAAAAAATGAAAATATTTTTGTAATTTTTTTTTATTTTTTACAAATTTCTTTTTCAAGTTTTTTTTTTCAAAAAAAAAAAGAAAAAAAGAAAACTGAATAAATGACGAAAATAAAATAAAATAATAATAAAAAAACGAAAATATTTTGTAAGCCTGCAGATTCTACAAAATTATTGGCCTATTATGTTTGCCTAATATTTGCGGGCCTTTGTTATTAACAAAATTTAAAGATAGAAAAAAAAACTCAAATTGCTTCTATTTCAAAATTTGCAAATTCAAATCTAGAGTTTAGTAACCTTCCCTCAAATTAAGTCGGTTTCGCGTATTGAATATTTACTAACGATTTGAATGCGATTTTAAGCTAAAAAAATTAACAAAGCCGAAACTAATACTTATGGTGTTCATACTGACACCCATCTACTAGTCCCGTAGTTTAATACTTCACATAATAAATACTTCTACCATTTACATAACATGAGACACATAATGAATATTTAACTAAAATATGAATATTCTATAATTAAAAAAAAACTTAAATCTTCCGGTCATTTCATTTCATCTTCAATACATATGTTGAAATGATTCAGAGTAGTGTACCTGGTATTTGAATACAAAGAAAGGAAGAATAGGATCAGCAGCAGTAGCAACAGCGCGGCAACAACAAACAATCAACAGTCAGAAAACCCAGTAGTAGACTTGAAAACCGAACAGAAATTCCAGCAACCACCCAATAAAGCAATAACAAAGGACCAACAGTNCTAAAATTAAGCTAACAAATTCTTTTACATACTAACAATTTCAACTTGAATTTAACAACATTAGAATTAAACTAACAATTTTCTTTTTTGAATCTAACAACATTAAAATTAAACTAACAATTTCTTTTACAAAAAATAAATAAAAGCACATGAAATAAACTGAAAAACTAATAAATCAAAGTTCCATTTAAATCTGAAAATTAAATCAACAAAACATATGATCAAACTAGAAAATTAATTCAACGATAGACACGAACAAAACAAGAATCGAACATTTATCGATTTTAGATCCGAGAATATCAAAACAAAACTACGGGCAACATGAAACTCAAATCTACTAACCGGATCGAAGCGACGACGAACTCGAACGGAAAGTAGTTTGGTTGTTTGGAAGAGGACGAAGAAGGAAGCATGGCAGTAGCACGAGACAATGGAGAAACGTAGCAGCAGCGTCGGAGAAGAAGAAGCAACAAACAGGTGACGATCTGAAGAAGAAGACAGTAGCAACGACGAGCGGAGAAGGCCAGCGACGACGTGAAACATGGAGGAGAAATAGTAGCACTGGGCAGCAGCCATGGCTGGAACAACTCGACGGATGAAGAAGGAGAAGCAGCAGTAGCGACGAGCGAAGAAGAAGAAACAACGGGCAACAATACGATGGGATCTTGTGCTCGTTTGAAGAGCTTGGAGACGCAGCCATGGCGAACAGCAGTGATGGGATCTTTTGATCATTTTAAAGAGCAGTAGACGCAGCCATGGCGGGCAACATGTGTCGAGGAAGAAGAAACAACAAGCGACATGAACTTGAAGAAGAAGAAACCATCACGATCTTGAAGAAGAAGAAACACGGGCAGCGGGTGTGTGTGTGTGTGTTACGTCGCCGTGGTTGTGTGTATGTGTGTTGTCGACGTGGTTGTGTGTGTGGCGTGGGGATGAAGGGAACGGGAGAGGGGCAGCCATGGGAGGGGCTTTGAGCTCTTTGGAGAAGAAGAGAGAAAGAGAGGAAGAAGAAGAGGGGGGGTGCGGGTAGTCTTCGGTTTTTTTGGTTTATTTTTTTTTGTTTTGTTTTGTTTTGTTTTTTTATGAAAAATGAAAGAAAATGGGGTTTGGGGTCTTTTGGTATGGATTGGGTCGACCCAGTTCGAAATGGACTGGGTCGTTTGGGAAGATTGGGCCATTTTTTGGGCCTGTGGCTTGAAATCGAAGAAGAGGCCCAATTCCGACTTTTTTTATATTTTCGCTCTCTTTTCTTCTTTTTTATCTCTAAAACTAAATTATAAAAATACTTAAATTATTATTAAGAACTAAATTAAGTTATAAAAACGCAAATTAACTCCCAATAATAATTAATGCATAATTAAGTAATAATTAAGCATAAAATTGTATAATTGGACATTAAATGCTAAAAATGCAAAAGATGCCTTTTTTGTATTTTTTAATTTTTTAGAAACAAACTTAATTACTAACAATTGTAGGATTAAATTCTAAATGCAAATGCGACATATTTTTGTATTTTTTATTTATTTAACAAATAAACATGCACAGACAAATACAAATAATTATCCAAAATATCACAAAAATCTCAAAATTGTACACCAAGTAAAATCATTTTATTTTGAATTTTTGGGAGTAATTCTCATATAGGTCAAAAATCACGTGCTTACAACTACGAAACCAAAATAGAAGATATCAAACAAATAAGAAAATCTAAAGTTCTATTCAAAGCCAACATGTTATAACTTCATCTTTGTTCATTTCAAAGCTCATGAGAATACCTGGATACAGCAAAGAACAGAATGAGGTGAGGACTTCAGAAAGAAAAATAAATGGAGATCAACAACCAGTCAACAACAGTAGCAGCTTCAACTTAGTCCACACTCAAACCAGAAATTTCAGGAGAATTTTTCTAAGTTTTTGCAAAAATCAAAGGAAAGTAGAACCAGCCGCTAATGGAATAGTAGCTGAACCTTTTAGTTCTTTTTTAGGGTTCTCCATCCTCTCTAATGAATGAGAAAGGTTCTATATATGGGCATCCAAAATGCCGTGTGCTGAAAAGGATAAGGGAATTATTCTCTTTAGCCACAAAATACATCTTTTAACAGAATTGGGCAGCTGGTTGTCCCTCATTGGCTTCATCATTTTGTGCTGGCCAAATAGGGCCAGTTGCCCATATTCTAGAAGCTTCCTAAATGGCCTTATCTAAATTCCTTATTTACCCACCCTTCAAACAAACCCCTTTAAGTTTCTTTCTTGTTCAATTAACACCTACAATTTCTTAATGACTTACAAATTATGGCAAACAGAAGCAAACAAGCAAATATCAATAGACGAATCAAACAACAAATAACAAAGCTAGACAGTGTAACTAAATTGTAAACATTTGGAAACTTAAAATAAAACCTAGACCCTAAAAATGAACCAAGTTCATGATGAACTCCACAAGGACTCTTCAAAAACGAACATGTTTGATGACTAGCATAGGCAGACAAGTTTAAAAAATAACAACAAACAAATCACTGTAAATGCAAATTAAACAACAATTATGAAGAGAACAGAGAGGAAGAACAAAACAAGAAAAGAAAAATACTACAAAGAATTCGGCCTAAAGAGTTGAACTAATGCTAATGAACTGCAAATCCTATTTGTTAATTAATCAAAGAAAAAATAAAATCTAATCCACATAGCACTTGAACAAATAAAACAAAATTGAAAACAAAACCCTTTAACTTCTTTTAATTCTCTTAGAAACAAAATGCAAAAGCAAAACAACAAAGGAAAAGATAAGAAAATACCCAAGGAGAAGGGCGGGGTAAAGCCTGAACTTGGACAGATTTCGAACTGGCTTGAAACTAACCCCAAATGATTGTTCTTGGCAAGAACAATCTATTTGGGGTGAGCTTTTAACCAAACAAACAAATAATCTGGCGAAATTCCCATAAACATGCAAAGCTAGGTTTTCTTCGAATTTTAGATCTGAATTTCGGGGAATTTGTGGGGTTGTTTGGGGAAATCAACAAGGGATTTGAGTTTTGGGGGGGTGTGAAGGTTATTGGGTGTGAATTTGGGTGGGTTTGGAGACTGGCAGCCG